TGTATAATTTTTAAAAATATCCATTTGTCCCTTTCAGCCTTCCAATGTATATATAGATAGCAAAAATTCTTAAAAATCTCAGGGAGCAGCATAAGCAGATTGAGAAGATAGCTGAAAACTTTTTTGTGGCCAGACTTTTTCTTTCAGGTTGTTTCTACTTCAGGACCATCTGCAAGGAGAGGCTGGCAAAAGGATTAAAATAGTGCCTGTGTCTATCCAATGTCCCATCCTTTTTTCATGTGTGTTGTCATGGCTTTTGAAAAAGGGCCAGACTTTGTGCAATCACAATGATTTTTTGACACCCCTATGACGCCCCTGCTGCAATTTAAAATCAGTGTGGGCCTTTTACCCTAACCCTAAAAGATAAAGGAGTTATCTTTACTCCATTATTTGTAGCCAATTTTAGGGGGCGGTGCTCATCTATGTTTCTTTAAGCCATTGACCCAGCATTTTTCAAAGATGTTTCAGCAGTCATGTGGTCAGCATGACATCACGTCATGGCAAAAAGGGTACAGAAAACACGGAATGCTGTCATCTTCCCACCAAAGTGGTACCTATTTATCTACTTGCATTTTACATGCTTTCAAACTGTTAGGCTGGCAGGAGCTGAGGCAAGTGACGGGGGCTCACTCTATCACAAACCACTGGAGCACAGATCTTCTCTAACATCTTTTAAGCCACTGAGCCACTCCATTTCTTTTGGTGTAACTCTAATTTTTTTTCATTTATTTTTTTTCCTTGGGTTTTTTTTTGTGGGACTGCCAATGATTTAAATATTTTGAAGTGGGTTGTCAGTATTACTTTTATCATTGGCATTTATTATTTCTTAAACTAATTTTATATCGCGTTTCCCCAAAAATAAGCCCTACCCCAAAAATAAGCCCTACTTATTTGCTAAGACATGAGGCGAGATGGGGGAGCTGCCTCTAATGCCTCTTTTGGAGGGAAAAAAGGGCCTTATTTTCGGGGAAATACGGTAGTATCTTTCTCAATCACTTGAACCATTGTGAGAAGATTTATACCCTAATATAAGGATAAAGATCTTGAGGCTAGTTGCTACTGAATCAATTCCCAGAATTCCTCATCAGTCACCGTACAAGATAATGTTCCTCCCACTCCTCCAACCTTGAAGTAAGTTCTATCAGTTTCATTGTTTTGCATTCTTCCTTCACTCTTCACATTCTCCATCTGTGATTATAAAGCATATTAGGATGTTTTGGAATCTCCCCATCTTTTAAAAATTCTTTCCTTCCTTCCTTCCTTCCTTCCTTCCTTCCTTCCTTCCTTCCTTCCTTCCTTCCTTCCTTCCTTCCTTCCTTCCTGCCTGCCTGCCTGCCTTCCTTCCTCCCTCCCTCCCTCCCTTGGATTCCCCCAAGCCACCTTCTTGTGCTTAGAACATTGTAAATAGAAAGTTAAATGACATCGTTCTGTATTAATTATATTATTTGTGTATTCCTTCTTATATCTGTGAAGAGTCCAGATCAGATTTTTGTTTCAAATTGACCTGCCTCTGGAAGAATAATGTGGGGGAAGGGCAAACAATATAATTTTCCATTTGTAATCCTCCTCTGATTTTCCAAAACTTCTGCTGTATTCTTTCATTTAAAAACTGTACAAAAATAGAAGAAAGCATGTAGAACTCAACAACATTTTATCTGGTCTGCCATTTTATCTAGTCTAACCAAAGTAACTTTCGATGGTGGAATGGACAACATATAAATTTAATATAAACAAACAAACAAATAAATAAATTTTGCATATAACAACAACCATTCCATGTTGAACATGGAATGGCCTTCTACTTTGTCCCCATGATAGAACAGAATAGAGCTGGAAGGGACCTTGGAGGTCTTCTAGTCCAGCCCCCTGCTCAAGCAGGAGAACCTATACCATTTCAAACAAATGGCTGTCTAGTTTCTTCTTAAAAAACTCCAGTGATGGAGTGTCCATGATTTCTGAAGGTAAGCTATTCCACTGGTTAATTGTCCTCACTGTTAGGAAGTTTCTCCTTAATTCCAGGTTGCTTCTCTCTTTGATCAGTTTCCATCCATTATTTCTTGTTCTGCCCTCTGGTACTTTGGAGAATAATTTGACCATCTTTTCTTTGTGGCTGGAATATTGCTATCATGTCACCCGTATCTTTTCTGTAGACTAGCCAAACCCAAGTCCTGCAACTGTTCTTCATATGTTTTTGTCTCCAGGCCCTTAATCATCTTAATTGCTTTTCTTTACACTTTTTCCAAGTCTCAACTTTTTTTTTGTAATGTGATGACCAGGGTTTTTTTTCTCATAGAATGCCCAGAACGGGGTTCTGGCACCTTTTTTGGATGGAATCTTGTAGGATAGGCAAGGAGGATTGTATGACGTGTGAGTTCTGGCACCTTTTTTTTTTTTTTTTACAAAAAAAGCACTGGATGCAATATTCCAGGTGTGGTCTTACTAAGGGTTTATAAAGTGGTACTAATACTTCACGTGATTTTTATTCTATGCCTCTGTTTATACAACCAAGTATTGTATTAGTTTTTTGGCTGCTGCCACACACCACTAGCTCATGTCTAAGTGACAGTCCACTAGGACTCCAAAGTCCCTTTCACAGTTACAGTTTCATTTTGTTGGATAGGGCCCATTGTTCAAGTCTGTCAAGATCTTTTTGGATCCTAATCTTGTCTTCTGGGTTATTGACTATTCCTGCCAGCTTAGTGTCATCTACAAATTTGATGAGTTTCCCTTCTATTCCTTCATGTCAGTCATTTATGAAGATATTGAAGAGTACTGAAGAGAACTGGTAGCTAAATTTTGCTGAGCTCAGAGAAACGGCTGAATGCACACTGTTTCCGGAAGTCCAGTCTAGGCCTCAGAGGCCTGGAGGAGGCCTCTCAGGCCTAAAACAGCTTGCCAGAAGTGTGTGGATGCTACTTCCAGAAGTCCATTCTAGGCCTCGGAGGCCTGGAGGATCCAATAAGAGAACCAGTTGTTCAGGTATTTGAATCCCACCAGCTTAGTGTCATCTGCAAATCTGATGAGTTCCTCTTCTATTCCCTCATCTAAATCATTTATGAAGATATTGAAGAGTAGTGGCCCTAAAATGGAACCTTGTGGTAACCTACTGCTTACTTCCCTTCATGTAGATGTAGTACCATTAAGGACTACTCTTTGAGTATGGTTTGTCAGCAAGTTACAAATAAATCTGGTGGTGATACTGTCTAGCCCACATTTTTCTAGTTTACCAAGAAGTAAGTTGTGGTCTACTTTGTTGAATGCCATGCTGAAGTTTAAGTATACTATGTCTACAGCATTTCTCTTGTCCACTAATTTAGTAATTTTGTCAAAGAATGAAATAAAATTGATTTGGCATTATCTGTTTTTAGAAACCCATTGTGGTTACTAGTTATAACTTTATTTGTTTCTAGATGTTCACAGATCTGTTTTTTGATTATATTTTCCAGTATCTTCCCAGGTATTGATGTTAGGTTGATTGATCTATAGTTTCCTGGGTCTGTTTTTTCCCCTTTTTTTGAAGATGGGAACCACATCAGCCCTTTTCCAATCCTCAGGTACCTCCCCGGTGCTCCAGGATTTTTGAAAGATATGGTGCAATGGTTCTGTGATAACATCTGCCAACTCCTTCAGAACTCTGGGATGTAATCTGTCGGGGCCCAGTGATTTATGTTTGTCAAGGTTGGATAGGTGTTCTTTTACCATTTTTCTTATTTTAATTTTTGTTTATAGTTTTTGCCTTTTGCTGTAGTTTTTTTGGTATGTTGGGCTATAATTTCTTTTTGTGTGAAGACTGATACAAAGAATGAGTTAAGCAGCTCTGCTTTTTCTCTAGTGTCTGTTAGTTCCTTGCCAGCTCCTCTCTTTAGTGGACCTACAGTTTCATTGACTTTTTTTCTGTTATTAATATGTTAAAAGAAACTTTTTATTATCCTCAATTTCTGTTGTAAGACTTTGTTCATTCTGAGCCTTTGCTTTCCTGACTTCATCTTTGTATGTTCTGGCTGGATGATAATCTGGATGATAATCAGCCTTAGTTATATGTCCCTCTTTCCATTTTTTTACTTGTCTTTTTTGTCTTTCAGTTTGTCAGAGAGATCTTTGTGCAGCCATACTGCTTTCTTCTTGAATTTCTTGTTTTTCTTTTTAATTGGTATTGTGATGGACTGGACTTTTATGTCATATTTTTCAGAGTTTCCTATACTTCTTGAGTAGTTTCCCCTTTAGGATTTTCATCCATGGAATCTTTCCTAGGTTCTCTCTGAGTTTGTTAAAATCATCTCTTTTGAAGTTTAAGACACTGATTGGGTTATTTTCTATTGCTTGTGTTTGCATTATATTGAATTCCAGTATGACATGGTCACTTCAACTTCAACTCCCTCTATCACTTCTTCTCTATTAATATGAATTAGGTCCAGTATAGCTTTACTTCTAGTTCCCTCCTTCACCTTTTGGATGACAAAGCTGTCAGCTAGGTTGGTTAGGAATCTGTTTGATTTCCCACTCACTGCAGAGTTTGTCTCCCAATTGATATCTGGATAGTTGAAGTCTCCCATTACTACTGTGATATGCTTCCTACATACATTTGTTAACTGATTGGCAAAGAGTTCATCTATTTCTTCTGATTGATTGGATGGCTTGTAATATAAACCTATGGCAATCTCACTTTTCCCCCTTTGATCTAATCTGCAAGGACATTGTTTTTCAGTATTGCATTAGAAGCAATAGATCAAATCCTGTATTATTTTATAAAAATAATCTATATGCTGGGCTGTAAATATTTTCATCATCAATCAAAAATGTTTTAGGAGGATCTGCTAGGCAGAACTGAATGAAAATAGCATATATCTGGATATTTAAGCTTTCCATCACTGACCTTTATTACAGGAATATTATAGGTTTCTTATATCTTCACCAATGTAGCTTTTGATAGTAGAGGAAACTTTGCTTGTCAAATTAGAAACTCATTTTAAAATAAATATTTGATATACTAGTTTACCAAATTACGTCCATGTAGGCTTTTAATTGATTTAATTACATCTGCAAGACATAGCATTATTGGAGTTTATACACAGATGGCAATTTACAAAAAAGAAAAAGAAAGTTACAAAGGTGCAGAATCCAACAATATATTATAGTCCATCAAATCTTTATCCACATCTTGTTTTTAATAGTCTACAAAAATATGACCAACTATTCTGAGTGTTTCCCTCTTCCTACAAAGCATTTCATCCAAAACAAAGGAAATACAGAAAAATCAGTTAAGTTTAGTAGGCAGGACAATACTCTGGTATACAGATAAAGTAATGTCATATATGTGATTATGCATCATTGAATACAACATTTGTATTGCTGAAAAAGTTTTATCACTTTCCTTTCTCATTAATTTATAAAATTTACCTCTCTTCAAATTAAATGCTACTTAATGAAATGTAATTAAAGCATTTACATTTAGCATACGATCAGAAAAGCGAAGCTGGAGCAAACCAACAGTCTATCTTGATCAGCAGCATGTTCCTACAGTAACCATGGAGGTGCTTATGATTAGTCCACAACCAAGACACAAACACAATATCATCCTCTCATTTGGCCTTCTAAGCAACTGTTACTGAAAAATGCTCTCTCCGATTCTGATGATTATATAGCCATCATGATTAGTCGACATTCATTACCCTATTCTCCATGAATTTATCTATTTCCTTTTTTAAAATCTGTCCAAGTTAAACATCATTTCCAGATCTTTGAGTCATGCACTCTACAAAGAAATACTTCCTTCTGCTATGCCAAATGTCTTACCATTCAATTTCATTGCATCAGCCTATATCCTAGCATTTTGTATAAATTGTGTCACCTTGAAGACATTTAGAGCTGCACAATGCAATCTGAGTCTGTACACAATAGCATGAACATGGATTCCAAAAAGAAATGATGCAGGTGGCTTTGGAGGCAGATGAAAAATGCTGGAGGATTGTCACCCAGCCCTTCATTTTAAGTAACAAAGTATTTTGAAATTTATATTCAGCTCTTTATCAAGACTACATTAAGTCCTGTTGAGAACAATTGGAATTAAGTTATATTCCTACATATATTCACTTTTGAGTAGAACCTCGCTGGATTTTCTTGCAAATACAATGCTCACAAGCTAATTTGAGCTAAGGATCAGATAGAAGCCCCAGTGTGCACTTGCGCAGGTGGCGCAGTGGTTAGAACGCAGTATTGCAGGCTAACTCTGCCAACTGCCAGCAGTTTGATTCTGTCCGGCTCAAGGTTGAGTCAGCCTTCCATCCTTCTGAGGTTGATAAAATGAGGACTCAGATTGTTGGGGGCAATATGCTGACTCTTTAAACCACTTACAGAGTGCTATAAAGCACTACGTTAGTTATCATATTCTGCATAATTTGTATTCAAAGCATTTGGCAGACTATATAAGAGAGAATTGCTAAATGGGGTTTATGACTTCTAGATTTGGTTTTGTTTTTCACCAGACCTGAGGTGGGCTAAATTTAAGTCGGTCAACAAAAAGATCACTTGGTGACAAGACTATGACTTCAATTTTTTTAAAAAATAAAATCCATCATAACAGGACACATTCTATCCATTTTATTTAATTTATTTTTGTGCCTTCCTGTCAGTTTTGGTTCTTGGCAACTACCTGGATAAGTCCCTGCAGGTTTCTTGGCAAGAAGACTGGCCTAAGGTCACCCAGCTGGCTTTGTGCCTAAGGTGGGACTCTTGATTTCTACTTTGATGCATTAAACATTAAAAAAAGTTGAGTCCTTTATCCTATATTGGAAATATAACCTCTCCAACACAGCAACCCTACATGATGGAACCAGCACTAGCCACCTAACGCCCAAAATAATGAATTACCTTTCATACATAAACTGCATTATGCTCACTTTGTCTAAGAAAAAGTTGTATACTTCCACCTTACTGCTACTGTTACACAACAGTTTTTAAATAAACATATTAAAATTTGGTTACTAAGAATATATATAGAACGATCCTATTAAAATATTTTTCATTATACTGGTAGTGATCCTCATGCAGTGAAAAGGATCCTAAAAAGAAAATGTCAAGGATAATATATATATGAAACATGTTTGCAAATCCCATTTTGGGACCAAACCTAACCAATTTCATTCATTATAACAAAATTTGGAATTGTTACTCATTTTAGAAGTGAGACTGGTATATATGATCTGAAGAGCAATCATAACAGTGGAAGTTTACAATCAAATTTAAATTCTCTTTTTCTTAAAAACAGTAGATGTACATTTAGGACATTTTTGTGGAATGAGGGAGAATAAGTGTTTTCATTTTCACTTTTCAAGAATTGTAAGTGGGGACAGATAGAAGAAGTGGGTTGAGTGAATAAGTGTAGAAGAGTAACTGAAGTTAAAGCTTCAGTTTTACTCCATAAACACAGAATTCCCCTTATAAAATTTCACAAGATTTAACTTAGCAGAAGGCTACTTTATCCCTCTAAAGAACAGAATACTATAAAATCTTTTCTGTTACACTGTAGAGAGACACAGAGGTGACCTTGGAGAAGGAACACCTCAATTAGTTAACATGAATGAAGCCCAGGAAAGGAAGAAGCTTTGAAGATTCGGCTATTATAGTTCATACCAGTAGCATTCTAGAATTTCCTGTGATATCTGTTTCCTGACCTGACCTATCAATCCTGAAAGCCCAATGTTGTTTTTTCTTTCCTTTCTTATAAGAGAATTAGGGCAGAGTTAGTTTAAGTTTTTTCTAACATTTTTTTCCTTTCTGGGACTAAATTCATGTTTTGCTAAATGCCACATTGCTTTTCTGAGGTCATCTCTGTAATTTCCTATGCACACATATTTCTAGACCAATCCTTATTAGAACTTTTTATGCCCACACAGACTTCAATCTGTTAATCTAAGATTGGTAGACACTTTTAAAATAAAGCATGAACCCCATATTAAGAAAATAAAATTTAAAAAATTGACTTCTAAAAATTATCTTAGCTGGTTTTCAAGCACATTAAGGTTGATGCTCATAATAATAATGATTATTTATATAAGTCACGAGTGAACATTTATCATTCCCACCCATCCCAATATTGTTTTCATAAGCTGAGCTATGATTACTACCATATACACATAAAATGTACTTTAGCATCTCTTTCCCCTGGAGAGCTTTATTTCAATTTAATTCCTTACAGAAAGAAAACTTTCTTTGTGATAAAATAGTGAAAACTCATCCTAAGACATCAAAATACAAGCATCAAATCAAGTAGACTTTATCTTGAAATCAACACCATACAAATATCGCTTCGCTTCATCATATCACTTTGTCATGACTTCTACCCAGTTCTGGAGATTGTATTTTGGTGACCACATTGAAGTTAAAGCATTGGAAAACACTCTTGGGAATAACTGCTGTATCAATTTGATCCTATTCACTGCTACCGTGAGGCCCCACATAAGACCCTCCCTGGGCAAAAGGCTACAGTAGATTAAATAATGCAAATAAAGCAGATGGACATCATTAATTACATAAAAATGCATCTTATGTATATACTGGCCATTTCTGTCTAGTCTTTGATCCAAAAGTATAGATAAAAATTTCAGCAGAGTCTATATACAAATGCCTTGGAAATGTCCTAAAACAGCAATGACATAAGCAGTGTTCTCTTTTTCCCTTTTAAAACAGGCTCAATTAAACCAGGTTAGCATTTGGGTCACAAATTATTTGCACAAACAATAGAAAAGGCTGCTGAAGTTTCACAAATCTAACTCAGTTCACAAACAATAATGAATAGCTATTTCCATTCAAAATTTACATTGGTAAAGAATTCCTTAAATTTTAATTCATTTTCTTTCAAATGCAGTGTTAATAAAAAGCTGGTTCACTTGAATTTGCACAGAAAAAGTGATAAGGGATAAGTACAGATCCCTGCTGTGCACCACAAAAAGGCAGTCCTAAATTTTCCATTTAATCCAGATTTAAAAGTGAAACTTGCATTTCTATACAAAAAAGGTACAAAGTTAGAAGGTGACCTTATATTACATCTATTATCCATAATATCACAGTGCTAGTTTTAAATGGCTAAAACAAAAGAGGTTTAATTGATTTAATATATTCTATAGCAAACAAACCCTGTGTCTTGGTATCAATACCAGATAGCTCTTTTATCTTTAACAGGCAATTTCACTTACAAGTGCTAATTGCAATTGATATATTTTTTGTGTTTGATATGAATAGTTTTGCTTCTATTTTTCCTTTGTGGCATTAACAAAAGGAACCAGGAAGAACTACCTACCTAATGTGCTCCATTTTTCCTCAAAGGAAATTGTAATGATAAGAATCCCAGCCTGAAAAGAAGCAGTTCTAAAGCCCCTAAATTTCTTGCCATGTACTAATCTAATAATAGAACTAAAATTAAATCCTTCTATGGTTTTAAAATAGAGCATGTTGACAAGCCTTCGGAATGTGCCAGCTTTCCAATTAGGGTCCCACCACAGCTTCTGTTCGTTGAATGAAGTTCCTTAGTCATCCTCAGTTCTGCTTTCACTGCATTTTGTACTATCTCCAATGTCTTGGTGTGATGAAGCACCTGGAGAGAAACAATTGTTCCTGTGTTGATTTTCTGTTGTACATATATATGCTTTACTTAAAACTAACAAACTACTTCTCCCTTTTTCCGCCTCAGACTGCATTCACTTCCATTAGCTAGTTAGCCAAACATGAGAAATTATGATTAACCTAGCTACGGTTTGTTAAACAGATGAAAAAGCATAATAAATGACGTTACTTTATCTCAAAAATTATACTAAGCAATATAATGTATTTGAATAACTGTAAATAAAAGCTGAAATTTCCAAAAGGTTAAGCTGGAGGAGGAAAGGGTGCGTGATCTTAGAAGAGTCCAGGATTGTCACGGCGCTCTGTCAAAAGAACAGGTAGCTTGGTAGCCAAATGTTTGGCTTACACTTATGTAATCCTTTGCCATTTAACATTAACTGGATGATCTAATGGAATTCAAAGACCAGGTCTGCCTATGCTGGATATATTAGAATATCCCATCAGAGGAATAAGAATTCATCAGTTTTTGTATTATTACTATGGTGAGCTAGTACAGGCAATGTCACACTCTTTTCAACATGTTTCCCCCAGTAAAAGTTATTAAAATGTTCATACTTTCAAGATCCATCTGGTGTTGCTGAGCACAGGATCTCTGAGCAGCAAGAGCCTTCTTGTCTTCCATCGATTTCAGATCCTCTGGCGGCCAACGAAGCTCTCCACTTTCAACATCCCCCACTTCAGAGGGCTCAACCACAATGGATGGTAATCTCTTTGACAGTTTTGGATACTTTTCATGGGCATCCGGAAAAGCCTATGAAGTACAATGAAGAATTGAATTAGTTTTATCATGATGATCAGGCTGTAATGACACGTATAAAAAAATAACTATAGAGACAAATGGATATTCACTGTTTCACTTTTTAAAATACCATTAAAGATTGTAAAAAGGAAAAAAAATATCAGATCCCATAGCAATAATTAGTACAATCTTGCAACACAAATTTCACAAACCAGGAAAGCTAACCTAAAATTCTAGAGGAAATGGATATATCCATATTACAAATGAGTGATTTTATTTTTAGTGGCATCCTGTTGACTATCAGTTCTCCATTGGTGGTGGTGATAGTGGCTGTGCCCTTCATAATCTGTTTTGGGCTTCTTGCAAACTTGCATTTTCCATTTTATACTCAAAAGACAGAAAGGAATGGTTGCTGAAAGAATTCTTACCGTGCAATTTATCCCAGTTTGTCAGAAAACCTCACCTTAAACTGGTTATCTTAACCAGTCTGAACTGGTTAAGGTAAGCAATATTTTGATGGTGAATTCAAGTAAAAGGTTGTTTTCTTTCAAACCAAGGAACACTTCTTCCCTTTAGCCCAGGGAAACACATGTTGGAATATTTGAAACTGACAAAATTAGAAGGTCGATAGACAGATGGATTTCTTGGTACTATCCTAAAAAAACAAGAAGTTTGGCCTTCAAAGCCCATTGCCTTCTGCTGTGGCCTCTTAGCTCAAATATTTACCAGCCTGATACAATTCCATTGGGCAATAGAAATAAGAAATAGTGTAGGATTTGTCCTGGCAAACCAAGAATCTTTGCCTCCCACCTTTTGTACTTTATTGACATTGCTATAAACAACGGACAATGGTAATTTACTGTGACATATTGCTATTTACATTCTTCAGTTTGATGATTAATATTTGTGTAATACAAATATCCAATATTTAATCATCTGGCATGAATGCAGTTGACAGCCTCAACTCATAGCAACAATGACAATTGTTATGAAACCATGAGAGCAATTATACTGCAAATAGTGAAGAGCATGGTTATTTAGAACAGGATGATTTTTAAATACAAGCTTCATCAGATCAATCTTCATATAAATGACTCCAGATTTGGTTTCAGTCTCCTTATATGGAAGATTTTAAAAGGCTAGATGCCAGCTAGAGAAAGAAACAGAACCAACTGTCAGTCAGAACAGACTCCATAAATACTTGCAATAGAGAAGCATAGTTTCTAAGTATGCATGGGTTTTCAATTAATTTCAAAAACCCAGGAAGTGATTAGCTAATATCCTTAATAAGTTGTCCATTCCTTAGCATGGATGGAAGTTTTTAAATATATTTTAAAAATATATTTAAAATTATTTTAATTAAAAATAAACAAATGTTAACCATATCAGGAATTCTGGGAGTTGAAGTCCACGAGTCATAAAAGAGCCAAGGTTGCCTACCCCTGGTCTATGCTTAGGCATTGTCAGATCTGCCACTTCGCTCCTGTTTTCAACTTGTTCAGTGCCAGCCTGCCATAAACACTGGGAGGTGGAGGGAAATCCTTGGGAGGGGGGAAGTGGGGGACTTTCCAAACTGCTTTGTACCAGCCAGAGACAACACCTCAAGGACACCTGGCCAGGAAGAAGAATGAAGCTGAATTCCAAGGATGATCATTCCAAAAACATCTGGTTTGAATATGGTAGGGCAAAGGGGGATCAAAGGGAGGCAGATGTGGGAAACAAGGGGTTTTCATGAGCGAATTGGCCAGGGAACCTCAGACCTGGCTTTGCTTTACTGTACTTCACTTGACTTTAGTAAGACTATACCTTACTCTCAAAAATGGAGTCATGGATCATTCTTGCTTAAGGTTCAAATCGAGGCAGGATTGACATGGGATGGTGAGCTTGTGGCCCTTCAGTTGTTGTTCATGTCTATCAGCAGTTCAAACATCACAGCTCAACCCCACTCAGCTAATAGCAATAGCACTTAAACTTATATATCACTTCATAGTGCTTTACAGCCATCTCTAAGGGGTTTATATAGTCAACCTATTGCCCTCAACAATATGGGTCCTCATTTTACTGATCTCAGAAGGATGGAAGGCTGAATCAACCTTGAGCTGGTGAGAATTGAACTGCTTGCAGTCAGCAGAATTAGCCTTCAATACTGCATTCAAATCACTGTGCCACCATGGCTTCTAATACTGGGAAGTGGCAGAATTTATAATACATAGATAGGAAAGAGGTTTAGATGAGCCCTTGAAGTAACTACAAATGGAAGGACAAGTGATAAAATAGGTGTTATAACATTAAAATGCAAACTTTGCCCCTTGAGTAGCAACATTGGCTACAAGTACCTAAGAAGTTGGGTGGCAATTGGACATGTTTCCTTATTTTGGTATCATTATGACCAGCTGTGGATATCTCTGCCTGGAGACATGCTATTGGTCAGTATATCCCCAAGTAATTCAGTTCAGACTGGTATACAGCAGACTAATTCTAAGGTTGTTGTTAGTTGCAAAGTCGTGTCCGGCCCATCGCGACCCCATGGACAAAGTTCCTCCAGGTCTTCCTGTCCTCTACTATCTTCTGGAGTCCATTTAAACTCATGCTTACTGCTTCAGTGACTCCATATAGCCACCTCATTCTCTGTCGTCCTCTTCTTCTATTGCCCTCAATCTTCTAGAGGTGGATTAATGTGCACTTTTTAGATTCATGCCAGTGTAAATATGTGGAGTCTAACCACCAGATTCAGAACAGTGACTGAAATTCTTAATAATTATTCTTCAATAGGAATGCATGTAAAATATGTAAACTGAGAAAGAATGAACAGAAACACAGTATTTTAAGAATGAAATACAATATGGAAGAAAATCCTTAGACAAAAATATGTATATTAGGAAAAATATACAAGGAAATAGGTATGGATTTTCATGTACTTGTTTTGTTTTTTGCCATATCTACCAACTAATATAGAAAATAATTTTAGGATGGGGAAAATGAGAAATTGAGAGAACTATTCAGATTAGCCTGGTGTTATTTTTAAGGATTGCATGATACCTCTATGTTTGTTTACACTTAATGACAAAAGTTGTAAAGATAATACACCTATCCATTGTTGGAAATATTAGATATTTAGATTTACTAGTAATTGCTGAGTTTTTTTTTTTAAAAAAACCAACTTAAGGAAATGTCAAAAAATGTAAATCTCAAAGCCTTCTGATTGTTTTCATCAAATGCATCTTCATTACCATCGCTTACTACTATAGGATATTTAGCATGCAATGAAAGGATAAATGTTTGCTCTAAGCTTCCTAGTAGATCTCCATGGAATTAGCAGTAAATGTCAACAATACTCTGATTTCTGACATTTACTTTAACAAATATGCATATAGAAAAAAGTAAAAAAGAATTCATGTAACATGTATGGAGATGTGGAATTGTTATAAATGCTATGATATACATTAATCAGTAAGGCCACACTTGGAATACTGCATCCAGTTTTGGTCACCATGATGTAAAAAAGATGCTGAGACTCTAGAAAGAGTACCGAGAAAAGCAACAAAGATGATTAGGGGACTGGAGGCTAAAACATATAAGGAACGGTTGCTGGAATTGGGTATGTCTAGTTTAACGAAGAGAAGGACAACGGGGGACATGATAGCAATGTTCCAATATCTCAGGGGCTGCCACAAAGAAGGAGTCAAGCTATTCTCCAGAGCGCCTGAAGGCAGGACAAGAGGCAACAGATGGAAACTAATCCAGGAGAGAAGCAACCTAGAACTAAGGAGAAACTTCCTGACAGTTAGAACAATTAACCAGTGGAACAACCTGCCTCCAGAAGCGGTGAATGCTCCAACACTGGAAGTTTTTAAGAAGAAACTGGACAGCCATTTGTCCAAAATGGTATAGGGTTTCCTGCCTGAGCAGGGGATTGGACTCGATGACCTCCAAGGTCCTTTCCAACTTTATTATTATTATTACTATTATTACTATTATTATTATATAAGATATTTCTTATCAGTAGTAGTTGCCCAAGGCAGATCTCCCTATTTTCCAATAAAAATGGCCAAGCTGATCCCCTGCCATATCTTTCTTTCAACTTATTATTTGCCTTTTATCAAATCCTCAGATAATTTCATCTTTATCATCTTTTAATGATTAGATTACATGATCAGATAATGCATCAGACATACACTAGATTAGAACTTGCAAAGAAAATCCACAAAACTTAGGAAGATTCTCAAATTATGGGTACTTCTAGATTGTACTTTTCTTATACAGTGAACTTGTCCCATTTGTGTAATTATGCAGGGAGGAATCCAGATGTCCTCTTTTATTTGTCAATTTTCAATATCTCCCCACATTTTTTCCATTAAATCATAAAAATTCCACAAAAAGGAAAAGCTAAATTTGTTATATAAGCTATCCAATTTCAAATGTCCTGAATGGGTCTTTTAGAACTATAGCAGGAAATAGGCTAGACTTACGTAATAACTGATCCTGCCCAAGGCTATCCCTAAAGATACATATTTATAACTGTTGTGTCCTGAGCCTGCAAAAGCAGGCTCGGGACATTGCAATGGTCCCGGGCTGTTGCAAGCTGCCTGGGACCAGACTGAGTGGCGCCAGCCCTGCGCGCATGCGCAAGGCGTGGAAGCGCACCAGTTTGTTACCTTTTTGCCTGGGGATTCTATTAAAGGAGGCAGAGAGGCCTGCAAGCCTCTGAGTTGTGTCGGAGTGAGTGAAGAGAATAAAAGCTGTTAGAACCATCAGAATGTGTGCTCTTTTTTTGCCGTTGACTCGAGGACTCAACAAGAACAAAAAACCATCTCTCGAAAAACAAACTGTGCAAAACATTACTCTGAAATACAGTAATTTTGGCAAAGTACTAAGTTATTATAAATCATTGTAAATATGAAATCTCAAATTGAGAGACAATTGAGACAATGCGTACTAGTGTGCATTTTAATTACATTTACTTCTATGTACAATATTTTAACTATTCACAATTTTATTTTTTTTATTTCAGTGTAGTGTAAGCTACTCTGTGAAAATTTGGTTTTGAAATGTCACATATAAACAAATTAGGAAAATACAGTGCAAAAGCGAATTGCCTTATTTTCATTAGACTGAACAAAAACAGGATGTCACCCCAGCAGCCTCTGAGCTGAATTGGAAAAATAACATTGTATGTTATGTTCATTATAGCCTATCATTTCCCTCATTATTACCTTAATTAAGGCTACACAGTGTGAATACTTCTTTTAAATGTGGTATATGATGCAGTGGGTCTAATTTCTTCACTCAAAATTATATTCTGCTGGAAAAATCTGTCTTAGAACCTTAGAATGGATCTTGAATCTATGGGAACTTTTATCTAAGGTTCCAAATTACATATAGGAGCATGGCATTTAGTGAAAAGGAGATCAGTATTTTCATACTGAGTACTACATTTAATGTAAATAAGGAAGCTCTTTAATTGTCAAATGTTGCATTTAAATTTTCTTTCACTTTAAGGTTGGAAACACAGCATCCTCTTCTAAATAGGGAAAATCAGAACAGCCTGATCCTGTTCACATATACAATATAGTCTCACCCACCTTGTATCAGCACCCTATCATCTATAAGTCATCCCAAAAAATGAAGTACTGTAAGGTTACCCATCACTTATATAGAGAGATATAGGTGATCAAAAAGGGAATCTTATATGATTGGTATGTACCGGTATCACCATTTTCCAGTGATTTTTCCAAAACCACTGTAGTTGTTCATGGATTTCTACATTCCAGATGTTGTCTGTCTAGCACCTTGATCTTAAATCTACTTTTTAAAATCTGTCACTTGATTCACTGATGTAAAACCTGTAAAATAGGTTTCAGTGAGCAACTTCGATAGTACTGTATTTTATGAAATACTGCCACCTTCTATTATATTCAAAAGGAATTTAGCTCCAAGCTTCACCAAAATGACAGTCATAACAAAACCTAGCTCATAATTCTTCTTGCACGTCAGATTAAAACACACAGTGGATTTCAATTTGTATATACTATGATCTTGTGGTGTCTCACTCTAGCTTATTCTAAGAAGCTAAATTGTTCTGACAGATTTTGAAGATGTGACCTTGTCTGACTGTAGCTTTGTATACAATTTGCATACATACACTTACCTGAGTGGAAGTGCCTCCTTCTTCCTCAGGTTGGCTCAAGATAAATTCCTCCATCACAGGTTCACGTGTATTCATTACCTCTGTCATGCTGGAAAAATCAGAACAGGCTACTGAAAATGTGAAAGACAGGTTAAATATCTCATAACATATTTGAATTTTCTTATCCATATGCCAGACAAAGCACACTATGGCTTATGTATTAATAAACCAGGCTAGTGTGCCTGTACATTTATTAATAGCATAATTCAAATTAGTTGGATTCTTTTAACCGTGTTCATGAATTTGCAGGAAAAAACAGAATTATCTGCACCACAACTTTCAAGTTAAATTTTTCCATATCAATAGTGATTCTTCTCTCTGCCTTACTTCAGATCAAGTCAGAAAAAATAGCGAGACATAAACCAAAGACAATTCAGAAAAAGTGGATGATGATTCCCTATGACTCAATACATATTTTGTTCTTTTTCTGAGGTTGCAGAAATGAAGATGACTTGGAAAGGACACAACTGATACAGAAGTGAAATATTATGATGAATGGTTGAGGTAGCTAGGTATGTCTAGTTTATTGAACAGAAGGATTAGGGGGTCATGATAACTGTCTTCCAGTATTTGAGGGGCTGTCACAGAGAAGAGGGGATTGACTTATTCTCCAAGATGGCAGGACAAGAAGTAAAGGGTGGAAGCTTGTTAAAGAGAAATCCAACCTAGAAGGAACAAGAAATTTTCTGACATTGAGAATAGTTGCTCAATGAAATAGCTCCCCCTCCCCACGGAGTTGTGGGTGCTCCATCACTGGAGGTTTTCAAAAATAGACTGGACAACCATTTGACTGGAACGGTATAAAGACTCCTGTTTTGAGCAGGGGGCTGGACTAGAAGACTTTATAATAATAATAGTAGTAAAGTTGGAAGGAACCTTGGAGGTCATCTAGTCCAACCCCCTGCTCAGGCAGGAAACCCTACACCATTTCGGACAAATGGCTGTCCAGTCTCTTCTTAAAAACTTCCAGTGTTGGAGCATTTACTGCTTCTGGAGGCAAGCTATTCCACTGATTAATTGTTCTCACTGTCAGGAAGTTTCTCCTTAGTTCTAGGTTGCTTCTCTCCTTGATTATTTCCACCCGTTGCTTCTTGTCCTGCCTTCAGGTGCTTTGGAAAATAGCTTAATTCCCTCTTCTTTATGGCAGCCCCTGAGATATTGGAATACTGCTATCATGTCCCCCCTCGTCCTTCTCTTGGTTAAACTAGACCACAGGTCGGCAACCTGCGGCTCCGGAGCCGCATGCGGCTCTTTGAGCCTTCCCATGTGGCTCCCAGCCTCCTCTGCCTTTGCAGAGAGAGACAGAGACAGAGAGAGGCAATTGTGCTTCCCTGCTTCTCTCTCTCTCTCTCTCTCTCTCTCTCTGTGTGTTTGTGTTTTTGTGTGTGTGTGTGTCTGTGTGTATGTGTAAAAGAGAGTGCACTCACAGTATTCTCCGAGGAGCTGAAAAGGTTACTGGGCGGAGCTCCTCCCTTTGCTGCGTCTCTGCAGGAAGCAGGAAGCAGGAAGCAGGAAGGGCAGGAGAGAGCTAGCTAGCCCAGCTAGGCTGACTCAGGAATTCTGGGAGTTGAAGTCCATGAGTCATAAAAGAGACAAGGTTGCTTGTTGGACAACAGCTTGAAGCTTGCCAGGTGAGCAACAGATAGGAGGGGGGGGGGGAGAAAGAGAGAGAGAGAAAGAGAGAGGGAGGGAGAGAGAGAGAGGAAAGAGAGAGAGAGAAAGAAAGAGAGCGGGGGAAGAGGAGTGGCAGACCAAGGGCAGATAGAGAGGGAGGGAGAGAGAGACAGAGAGAGAGAGAGAGAGAGAGAGACCCTTTTGACATCTAAAATGAAGATAACACTGCATATATCCTTTTTTTACCTGTGTATGTGTGTGTGTGTGTATATATACACATATACATATATATACACACACAGATACACACAGAAACACACACACACACCTATAATAAAGGTAAAAAAGGATATATGCAGTGTTATCTTCATTTTAGATATCAAAAGGGTTTTGCAGCTCCCGGTGTTTTGTTTTTGGTGGGAAACGGGTTCAAGTGGCTCTTTGAGTGTTTTGGGTTGCCTACCCCTGAACTAGACATACCCAATTCTAGCAACCGTTCCTTATATGTTTTAGCCTCCAGTCCCCTAATCATCTTTGTTGCTCTTCTCTGTACTCTTTCTAGAGTCTCAACATCTTTTTTACATCGTGGTGACCAAAACTGGATGCAGTATTCCAAGTGTGGCCTTACCAAGGCATTGAAGAGTGGTATTAATACTTCACGTGATCTTGATTCTATCCCTCCACTCCTATAATTCTATGTTCTATATTCTGTGTTCTACTGCTTTAAATGAGGACAAACTTCCAAGGACAAACTTCAGAACAGAACAAATCAAAATTATAGTCTACAATGAGATGCTGCCTGCTTCAATCATTTGCAGTGAGACCAGTCCCTAAAAAAATAACTATTATAATTAGAAAGTTAACATACTCTGCCTGGGAAAATGAATAAAATGACATAGCTTATGTTGAAATGCCCCACCTTTGTGGCTGATAAAATTAGATCATTAACCCTCTCTCCATAAATTGCACATAAGGGGAATGGATTTTTGTGGCACCAGGTGACAGGAGAAATTGGACATTTGCATGAACTAAAAACTAGAAAGTATGTGGCAAGAATCAATGGAAATGGATGAAATGTCCACTCTGATTCCACTTTGTAGTGCTTTCTCAAGGAAAGATCAGAAAGCAAGAGCAGATGACATTTGCAGAAGCAGTGAAGCTTAAGTATCTAAGCCTCTTTTGAAAAAAAAATAGTGAAGAAATAAAATAACTATAAAAATGCAGAGATGTTCTTCCATGCTGGTGAACAATATTAAATGCCATAAGAGCATGTTGCCAGTTTTTTGTAGTTAACAGCCAGTCACTAGGACAAAATGGGATCTGAAACTATTCTGATGTCCTTATTCAATATCAATATCAATTCCATTAGAATTTGAGTTCTCTGTGTTGTGTAGCAACAAGAGAAAATAGGAAACCCAGTATATAATGTATAGGATAGGGTAGGGTAGGGTAGGGTAGGGTAGGGTAGGGTAGGGTAGGGTAGGGTAGACTAGACTAGACTAGACTAGACTAGAATAGAATAGAAACTTTACTGTCACTTTAAATGTACACTAATCATATATTAAAATGAATATTCATTGAATTCAGCTCTCCCCAAAATACCATTATGCATATATGCATACACACACACACACACACATATGACACAGAGAAACATCACAGTCTAATTCGAATGTATAGATATACATGGTAAAAAAAAAAGAATCCTGAAAATTTACAAGACAGATGGCATACACAGATCATTATCAAATTGTTTCTTCCTCAAGAAAGGCTTTGGTTTGAAGACACTTTGGATCATTGGCCCATCTCCCAAAGTTTGAGCCATAGGCTTAGCATATCACTGAACCATAGTTTTGACAGTCCATAGAAATGTCTATCATGACTTTTGCCGTTCTGACCCATTTACTGCTATCTTTGCTCAGGAGTTATGGTTCTGCTTGGAAAAGATCTCACAATCATAACAATGAAGCTGTGATGATGAAGGAAGACACCATAATCCATATTTTCAGAGTGAACTTTCCTTTATTCACTTCAGACTATGACTGTGTCTCTTCCTTTTTTTTAGAACCAGTGATTTGAAAAGTTAGAGCTGTTGCCAGCTTGTTGATGCAAGGCATAAATAGCTATTCTATAGCCTCTTAATTAGGAGATATATTAAGAGATTTAAGACAATATATGCAGTCTTAAGGATAATAGAGACTAGATTGCTGTCAGCTTGGCGCCTTGCTTTTTACTTTCACAAAAACCACTGACTATCTATAGTTATTCACTGAAGATTCAGCACAATTTGCCATAAAAATAGACATACCAAATCATTGTTGCACAAATGACCATCAGACATGGGCATCTTCTCCCTCCGAAAGCATGCAAACAATGTATGATATAAACTGGCTTGAATGTACATTCAATTTTCCATTCAAAAGAATCAGTTGCCATATGTGCATCCACAGTGAACTACAAGGACTTGTCCAAAGAACCTAACCTACTGAAGTATCTTTTATTCAGTAATATGGACTGGCTTGTTCAACCCAGATGCCAACAATATCTAGAACTCATTTTAAGAATGGATTGAGATACTTTCTTTTTTTTCTGAACTAAACCAAGTATTTGCATACTGACAAAGACTAGCTCAAGTGGTATGTTAATAATCTCCTTTCTTTCCTACAAACTACATTTGTAATGCACTCAGCATGTAGTGTAGCTACAGAGGGCAAAAGCCTAGATCTAAATCTAAGGAGCAAGCTTATTTCATCCTCTTGACAAAAAGCAGGAATTGGCAAATGAGTACATCATTAACAAATAAGCATCTGAGCTGGGGTAAATAAGGGGAAGAAAATGGCATAATGACGATTACATTTACCTTCTAAGGACATGAATGGATTTGTTCCTAAAAAATCTATGCTTGTTGCCAATGTTCGCTCTGGGGAGGAAGCGTTGTGCCAATTGCGTCAATCACGTAGTGCATCTGAAAAAAACAATATTGGAATGAATCAGAGGATGTGGCAGAAGTGACAAAGCTGGAAGAATGGGCATAATGAACCTGAGATAAAAAGAGAACAAGAGGAAGCAGGCAGTTCTACAAAATTCTAAAAGAAAATTCAGGACAAATTTGTATATATGGTAGATAGACCTATGCAGTTGCTGGTGCTTGGCTTTTCTTCTACAACCATGAAATCTGCCACTGTTTCTCCTCTGAGGAATCTTACTCAAAATGCAATATTCAACTCACTTGGTGAAAAAAACTGACTAAAGTTTGAACCTGTGTAGCTTTCACTGTTACTTCAACTCAGGATCAGTAACTATGGATAATATGAGACCAAGAAGGTTTACTATTGAGGGAAGTCAGCTCCCCAGAGAAGGAAATATTAAAAGGGCAGAAAAATATATTTCCTCAAAAGGATTTTAAAAGCAGAAATCAACCCTGCCCCCAAGTCT